ATTGTCCTATGTTATATAAAAGTGTCCCTAGGACAATTCACACTGAGGGGACAACCATTTCTGTCACATCAGAAGCAGGGTTAATTGTCCTCTACAATATAAAACTATATAGTATATACATTATAATATAGCAATAATCAAAATCTGCTTTCTGCATCCCAACTGCTGTGGCTGAATGGATACTGTATTTGTAATACATCATTTCCCATTGTTTCAAGTTCGAATCCCACCAAAGCGCTTCCATATTTTTTATTTGTGCGTCTTTTTATTCTTGTCTATATTATATAAGGGAGATGTTATTTTTTTATAATCAATCTTCTTTATGTTTCGAATCATGCAGAGCTGGAACCTCTGCTATGCTTAAGGTGAACGCACATTGGACATTTCGAGGTAACGGTTGAAGGATTGGTATTTGGTATAATTTTAAAAATCAAAAATGTTAGTTGACATCTCCAATGTACGTTGTCCCTGTAATTGAAATGTAAACAATGCAATGATTTAATTTCAAAACGCATAATGGTTTCATGAGTAACAAGTGATGTTCAACGAACATATCATGTTCATGTATCCCTGGTACAGATAAACAGGTAAAAGTGATTTTTTACCTCTTGTTGAATGCTATTTTATTTTATGAAAGTGTTGATATGGTGATTAATATTTCCCCGGGGGTAGTTATCTTCCAACCTTTTTGACCATTAGGCGTCGGTACGTTACCTTATGTTGTACTTTTATGAATTTTAATTATCTTAAGGAGTTAATGGAGAGACATATACTAGCTAATCGAAGATGACTTTCGAAATCCCGTTTATGCTATATCTGGAAAATGCAGAGGTTCAATATATTTCAATCACGTTTAATTAGTAATACTGGATTGTTCCGTTTCAGTTTTAAATGAATCTGATCCCCCTGCCCCTTAGTGTTATGGAAAATACGTTGTCTACATAATGGTTAACTTTGAATTCAGATTTGTAAGTTCAATGGGACAACGTATATCGAGATGACAGCGTACACTTATGATTTTCTTATTTTTATTATTTTAGCAAAAACATGAATATTTATTAAATCTTCAACCGACCTTAATTTTATAACTTTGGGAAACATATTCTCATAAAAACAATCGACACTCCTAGCTAGGCGACAGGGAAAAAATGACCAAAGAAAATGTGAAAAAATCAACATTTACCAACCGATCATTGTTGGTGGGTAGATTTACAACGAAAAAACTCTAGCACTGCCCGAAAATCTTTTCACAGAATGAGAAAGGTAAATGTCTTCTAAATCGGATACACACGAAATTAAACATAAAATCCCTTAAGGATTCCTCAGATTAATTTTTAAAACCTACACCACACCCACATCTTTGTTTTTGCTTCATATCAGTTAGAATAGTGACACCGTACATTTAAAGTGTACAACGGTATATTTTGTCACTGCACGTTGTCGATGGTTAGGCATGACTATGGTATTGAAGAAAAATATGCGCAGGGACCACCTCAAGGGAGGCAAAAACGAAATAATAATAATTCACCTTTCAAACGATTTAATGTTTAATTGATCAAAATATATATCTTGTTGGTACGAAATTCTGCCTGTCCACACTTTTTTTGCATAAATATAAGCGTTAAGTTAGCATTGTTATATTATGACGTCATCACACAGAATCTGTTTGTCTTTTCCAAAATGGTGAATTTAAATATTGTGAAAATTTGAGAAAGATCCGTTAAGAAATGAAAAAGTTATCTTCATTTTTCGTTTAAAATTAAAATCATTTTTCTTCAAAATGTTACAGTCCACACCCGGTTTTAGCATAGAAAGTCGCATAATATGGCTTGCGTGATTCTCATTTAAAAAGTCCCAAATCAGTTATTTGGAATTCTGATAGGCAAAATATTTCGTGGACATACGTGTTCAACTGATGACGAAAAGTTGTAGAAAAATATGATTTTGCTGTCGAGATATTGCGGTTTTAAAAGTAAGTACGCATGTAAAAATGCAGTAAAATGCCGCGATGTACAGTATCTGACGTCGTATCATAGCATCTTTCTATTTCACCTGAAACATCTCAGGGCTGAGAAGAAATGAGATGTCATGGTTTATCACGATGATCGTATTTAGCTATAATTTAGCATTTTTGAAATCATACATGGTCCACTGGCGGATCCAGACCAAAACTCCCCCCCCCCTCTTCTTGGGCCAAGAAAAAAATTGTAGGGCCCCAAAAATTGTTTTGCTCAAAAATTACATAAGGCCTCAAAAATGGGCATGTAGGCCATAATTTGGCCATTTTAGGTCAAATGTTCAAAACATGGGCCGTAAATTTTCATCTGGATCCGCCAGTGTCGTCAACGTTGTTAATTTAAAAAGGACAAATAATTGCAACATTGAAAGTGCAACTTATCAACGTACACGCCTCCCGACGAGTGACACATGTTGGTATAAACTATCCAATGCTGCACATAGAACGCATGCATAATACAAAAAAATGCTGGGATTGAAATGGTTTCGTAGTGTAAGCCAATTTACTGACTGAATTACTCAGTTGGAGTAACAATTCCCGGGGAAACTTTCCCGGGGACAGATAACTATTCCCTCTATTGACTAAACCAGGTACTACTACTCCACTCCACCTTTTGAAAATAAGTAACTCATATATATATCTTTTATCGACTCTTTAGATGTCATATCATGACATATTAGTCACTTAGGTAGAGCAGTTCTTCCCATTGTCGAGTTGAAGAACTGGTATCTTTATCCTGGCTAGAACCATAGACAATTCTAGCCAGCGCCAGCCTTTTATTATTTTTGCCGAATCTTCATCTGTTTTAAAATATGTAGATAACAAATACATATTCTCATTAAAATTATCCATACTCTCAGACGACAGGGAAAATAATAACCAAACAAAAAGTGAGAAAAACAACATTTTTCTTTCGAGTTGACTATGTGGGCCGATCCAGTCAGAAAAAATCCGAGTGGTGCTCGAAAAAATTTTGTCATAATTAGAAAGTTGAATCCATTTCTAAGAGAATGTTGATTTTATTACACCCGAAATCGTATTTATTTTTATCTAATTAATTTTTTTAAACCCTCATTAAAGTTTTTACTTCAACTCTGTTATTTTTCGTCAATGTACAAAAATTTGTACAATTGTATTTTTTGACGCTGTACTGTGACGCATGCTTATGCGATGGTTAGGCGTGATCCAAGGTTTTCTGAAAATATGTGAAATTACTCACTGTAAAAAACAACTTTTTACCAAATTATAAATATTATTTTTATGATTTGTTGAAAATATACTTCTTAAAAATTCAAATTACATAAAAATAATTCTGGAATTCCATTTTACCCTTTTCAACAATATAGTCGTATCAATTAGTATGATCAATTGATTTAAAGAAACATATCCATGACCAATGTTACAACTTAAAGGAAGAATCAGATCTATAGTAGTGACAAAATTACAAGCAATATGTACAATTGATCTACCAATCTATTCCTTACAATCTCAAATACAATATCTCCAAAAAGATTCACGATATGTTATAAATTGGTGAAGTATTTATGGATTCAGAATGCAAAAACGGGTGAAAAATTCTCCCATGTAATAAGAATGGTAACCATTCTTATAGAAGAATAAAACATCATTGTAGAAAACTTTAGTTTTCTTGAAATAAAGTATGCACTTTGGGGATCTTTGGAAAACAGACATGACAAGTAATGACAAGAGCCAGAAATATTGTAATGTCTGCAACCTTTTTCATAACACTAATTTGCAAGTCCAAATAATACTCCCTCAACAAAGGTAAAACCTAGGTCAACATGACTTAGGGGGGGGGGTGTAAATTTGGAAACATTCTGTGATAAATTATTAATTTCCTTTCGAAATAATTGTTGGCGCCTAAATTCTATATTCCCTAAAATTATAATCTATGTTTAATCTATCTTTCAAATGAAACAAAAATTAAGGTAATAGCAAACCACATAGCAATTGAAAAATCGGGGGTAGGGGAGAATAAAACAAACATATCTAAAATCGGGAGAGGTTATCATTATAATTCTGATACCACAGTTTTCATAAGGATTACGGAACATGCACACAAAATTGCAAGGTATTCATCAAGTTGTTTTCTCTTAAATTTGTGAAGAGAACGAGATAAGCGATTGGCGAAACTGTATTTTACTTTTAAAAATTCGATTTTCATTAAATAAAGCATGTTGGAAAGGGAATTCAATCAGTTAAATTAGCACCTACCAAACTAATAATAATAATGATTAATTTGCAATTTCTACAGTATTATAAACAAGGTAACTTTCAACATTTTATGAATTTCATTTACATTGGCATGAACTTCCGACTATCATTACTTTGCCCCTTAACCTCAAATCACCTTGAATTTTTCGCCAAAAAGGGTCATTTCCTAAGCAAGAAAAATAGCCTTACAAAAAATACTATTGAAAAAATCGAGGTTATCGGATGGTGTCAAAAAGATTTTTCTTTAGTGTGCTCGAGATCACAAACAATTTTTTCACAATGAGAAAATATGACTTAAGAACATAGGGAAATTAATAAGCTTTTTATTCTCACTTTTCAACACTATGCATTGGCTTTTTGGCGTACATTTTTCCTACGCCACTGCCTGGGCTGTTCAAAAACGCACCTATAATCTGCAAATTATGATTCATGAACCAAAATATTAAACATGTGAAAGTAATCTCACTGCACTTACTTTATAAAATGTTATGAGATTCACCCAGGTATATTGTAGAAATAAAGCAAGAACCCTGGCTTAGTTTCATTTGATGTTATTATGTGTCTTTGTGTATGGGCATTGCATGTATTTTGTAGAAAAGGGAAAAAGGATTTGAGGAAAACTGATGCATTACATTCACTAGTGTACTAGATGGGTTGATAAAAGTGTTTTAAAAAAGTCAGATCATTGAGATTTCAGATTGTAGAAAATTATAGTTGATTCCAAACTACATTTACTTTTTTGTTTCAGAGAGCCATATTTGCACAATCATGTTCACCATGCCACATACATTCTCACTAAACACATGCCTTTACCGATGGACCTAGTTGTGATAGAGACTCCAAAAAGAACACTTTATTCATTCTTATCATTTGCATGGGGGATGGTAGCAGATGTGGATATAGAGAGTGAGAAGTACAGGTACCTTGGAGAAACTAGGTTTACCATGGGAACTCTCTCTAGGATAATGAGTATGTTTTCTTTTTGTGTTTTAAAGAAAATTGAAACAAGAACTTTTTAAGGTCTCAGATTGTAAAAGGATTTATAAAAAGTGATTATCATAGTTATCATGGCTCCTATTTTATTCTTTTATATACACGGTGTCCAACCCAAACGCTCTTACATGCACGACGGAGCGTTTCATAACTGAAGCTAAACAAAGAAACGCTCCGGAGTAGGAAAAATGGCGGGTGGGAATGCTGGGCCGTCTGACGATTTCCCAAATAATGAGAATAAGAGGTATGTGTTCGAGTATACCATTCGATGGGTGTGATATTCATGTTGTACTTGGCTGGTTGTTGACGTTTGAAGCAACTTGGAAGTGCTATACGAAGCAGTATAGTTTTTGTCTAGACATGTGTTTAGTTGTGTAAAGATTATAGAATCAGAGTATACTTTGGTCAATTTACAAAGCTTCAACGCACCATACATTATCGTAATTGTGATTTGATGACCGAAAATCCAATCTTAAAAATGATAACAATCTCATATTAAAGAAACGCTGCGACCTGGTTAATACAGTGAACTGGAAATGATGCGGTACTAGTCTAGATATGTTTAGGCATTTGTCTGGTTGTCTGTCTGTCCGTCCGTACGTCCGGCAGTTTTCTCCAAAACTGCTACAGGTATCACCTTCAAATTTTCAGGAATAACTTGTGAGTGCATACAGATGTGGATGAAAATAATTAACTTGATAGCTACTTCCTGTCGGCCATTTTGAGGTCAAATGCTAAAATCCTTGTCTGCAAACTTAAAGAAAAACGGCTTCATAGTTCCTTTTAAAACTTTAAAATCTTGTTCAGCTCACTTCATTCTACATCCGATTAGGTTTTGGACCTGTTAGCTCAGTCATGTCAGCCATTTTGAATGTCTTAAGAAAAGTTAGCGCGCGATAATACTTTGTATCATATTGAATGATGTTTTTGAGTTTTCATACTTTAACTATTTAGTAGCTTTAAAAATAATTCCAGGTGTACTATGTTATTGGAAACAGTAGTTATATGTGATAATTTTGTAAAAGGAAATCAGCAAAAACTCATAATCACTTTTTATTGTCGGCCATTTTGGTTTTTTCTGTCCTAAAATCTTGTCTGTAAAGTCTTGTCTACGAATTTTGAGCCTTTTGGTAGATCAATTTCAAATTTTCAGGGATGATTCTTAGTATTAAAATCTAGATCTGATTAGTTTTTTGGCATACTGGGTAAATGTCGAGGCAGCCATTTAGGATTTTCCATCCTAAAATCTTGTCTGTAAAGTTTTTTCTCCGTGTTTTTGGGTGAACCGTTTGGTAGATCAATTTCAAATTTTCAGGGATGATTCTTAGTATGAAAATCTAGATCTGATTAGTTTTTTGACATTCTAGGTAAATGTCAGGGCAGCCATTTTGGATTTTCCATCCTAAAATCTTGTCTGTAAAGTCTTGTTTAACTGTTTGACGGATCAATTTTTAATTTTCAGGGGTGGTTCGTAGTATGAAAATCTAGAATTAACTAATTTTTGAGGATTCTGGGTAAATTTTTAGGTGGCCATTTTGGATTTTCTGTTCTCAAATTGTGTCAGTAAAGTCTTGTCTACTCATTTTCAGGATAACCGTTTGACGGGATCACCCATTGGTGGGGGCATTTTGTAAACATTTGTGTTCTTGTGTTTCTTTGTCAATAGTTTTAGCACACATATAGGCATAGCATCTGATGTAGGCTTCAGTCAGTTTGTTGCCTAACTAGTACAATACGTCTTTTAGAGATAGATTCGATTACAAACTCTTCTCTAATGATCTGAAAATAATATCAAAACAAAATGGTAAGAGCGTTTCGAGGAAAACAAGTGATGGATCTGGACTGGGATTTTAGCAAATGAGAATATATGAGTTTGTGATCTACCACTTTGACAGAAAGATTGACGTTTTCATTTAAATACTAATTTAATTCGTAATTTGTGGTCAATTTTTCAACTTCAGATTCGTTCCATCTACACTACGGAGCTTTGATGAAGCAAATAACAGTTTACCACCAGATGTTGAATAAATAAGATCTTTGCTCGGGGTATTGTTCATCGAATGGTACGTAATATGTCACCATAATGTATAATATGTAGGAGAAACGAGTGAAACAATACTTACGGTCATAGTGGGATAGCATTTCCACGTGAATGAAACGCTCCGTTGTGCATGTAAGAGCGTTTGGGTTGGACACCGTGATATAGCAATATACATATGTAGAGGCACCAGTGTAGATGTGGTTGTTTCAGTTGTTTTCAAGTCGTGATGACTTTTTTGCAGATTTGCGTAAATATAGGGGACGGTTTTCATTCTTGCCAATAGATGAATCATGGCAGCCTAAAGTAAAAAGGAGAGAGCATGGATGTTTTAGAAGTAATAGAACAATGTCAGCAGTTGGTGTGATGGGAGGTGGGGCTCCAGCTGGACTCTATAAACGTACCCTCAGTATGGATGAGAACCTACATTCCTTGCAAAGTTCAGAACCTGGTGGAAGCCAACAGACCTTGACGCATAAAATGAAGAAAGGTATTTCTATGTATGGTATATCTGAACATGATGGACAACTCCGAGAAGAAAATCTGCAACATATCAATGACAGCTACCATGGTGGAACTGGAGGTAGTGAAAGTGAAAAAGACAGATCCAATCTGACATCCCTTTTACCTCCTTTTGATAGATCTGTTCCAAATAATTGGGTTACAATAGAGGATGAGTTTATTACGGTTTTAGGGGCATACCAGACCCATTTGAGCTCTGATATCTTTGCTGCCCCTGATTGTAAACTCCAAGATGGTTGCATCCATGTGATATTCCTGCGTGCCGGTGTCTCAAGGCGTGTTGTATTACAACTGTTTTTAGACTTACAAGATGGAACACATACAGACTCTCACTTTATTGAAAGTGTGATAGTGAAAGCCTTCCGACTGGAACCACTCTCTCCCCCTGGTCATGTCACCATAGATGGGGAGGAAATAGAGTATGGGCCAGTTCAGGGTCAGGTCTGGCCTTCTGCTGCCACCATAATGGCCATAGAACAATAATGAGGATGGTTACGTCTTGAAACACCTACACTCTGGAATATTACACAGAAGCAAAATGATCTGTTTAACCCCTGCCCCATTGGTTAACAAGATTGAATCAATGTTGCACATGGTAGCACAACTAGTGCAGGTTGTTGTACCATAGACATAACATCATGTCATTTTGGACAAGGTGGCACTAGTGCAAGTTGTCAAACCATGAACAGTGGATCATGTCAGATTGTACATGCTAACACATTTAGTACAAGTTGGTGGCCTGTAAGCATCAAATCATACCATATTGTGCCTCCTAAAAAATCAGCAAATCATTCCATAAAGCCCATGTAACACAATATGTACAAGTTGTACCCATAGAGGGAATCATGTCATATTGTACATGGTAAAAAGCTAGTAGAGTTGTTTGACCATATACAGCAAATCATTCTATAAGGCACATAACACAGTGAGTCTAAGTTGTTTGACCAAAGAGCGAATCATGTCATATTATGCATGGCAACAAAGCTAGTGAGAGTTGTTGAATTATAGACAGCAAATCATTCTATAAGGCACATAACACAGTGAGTCTAAGTTGTTTGACCAAAGAGCGAATCATGTCATATTATACATGGCAACAAAGCTAGTGAGAGTTGTTGGATTATAGACAGCAAATCCTGTCATATTGGACAAAGTTAATTCCAGCAAATCATATATTTTTATAAATTAGTAAGGTAGAGTAAAGCACTAAATAATGAAGGAGAGAGACCTGTATATTCATGGATATATTTGCAGTTGATCAATAGATTTTACTAGAAGCCTTCAAGTACATATACTCGTTTCCCAGTTTGATTTTCAACCACACTGGTATCAGTAGACAACTTTCTAAAACAAACAAATCATCTGATTGGCACATGTTAGCACATCCAGCGCACAATCAGATGATTTGTTTGTTTTACTCTTGGATCTCATTGGTCAGACTCCTTTTAAACAATAGTTAATGGCCCTTAATTATTGACTAATGAGGTTGACTGATCAGCTTCTATTTATTCTATTTATTTTTATTATTTTATTCTGTTATTGTATGAATGAATTCTTTATTTAATTATTTTGTTCAAATACTCTGCAATGTTTTAGCTTCATCTAAGCTTATCACCTTTCCAAACATGAAGCCCTTTATCTGGATCTCCATCCATCTGTTACACACTATTTGGACTAGGTACACTTAGTAAATTGTGCTAATTATTATGTTGTTAATAAGGAGACCCTGTGCAATACATCTTTCCTTTATACACTTGAATACATTTTATTAGATAAAACTTAAGCGACTTTCCACGTAGTTATTTTGTCATAGCTTTAGTAAAATTTTATTTTCATCTAACTGGTTTAAAAATGGCGGCCATTTTAGTGCCGATTTTACAGTAATTTAGGTGCAATATGTAAAACTGTAATAGCGATATGTTTTAAATGTAAAAAAATATAAAGGACATTAAAAAAGCTACAAATGTAGATATTAAAAAAGCACATGGCAGCCATCTTGAAAAATGGCGGCCTTTACTCGTTATTTTACGATTTTTGCTGTAACTCGAAAAGTAGTGGAGCGATTTTGCTCATATTTGGTATGTGAATACTATAAACATTGCACACTCTCTAAAGACACTTTTGGTAGAAGGCGGCCATTTTGAAAAATGGCCGCCATTTTAACATATTTTACTATAACTCGAAAAGTAGTGGATCGATTTTGTTCATATTTGGTATGTGAATACTATAAGCATGGCACACTGTCCTATGACACTTTTGGTAGAAGGCGGCCATTTTGAAAATTTTTTTGAAAAATGGCCACCATTTTAACGTATTTTACTACAACTCGAAAAGTAGTGAAGCGATTTTGTTCATATTTGGTATGTGAATACTATAAGCATGACACACTGTCTAATGACACTTTTGGTAGAAGGCAGCCATTTTGAAATTATTTTTGAAAAATGGCCGCCTTTTTAACGTAATTTACTATAACTTGAAAAGTAGTGAAGCGATTTTGTTCATATTTGATATGTGAATACTCATGAGCCTTGCACACTGTCTCATGACACTTCGGATAGTAGGCGACCATTTTAAAAAATGGCTGTCATTTTTACATTTTTTACTAGAACTCGAAAAGTAGTGGAGCGATTTTGTTGATATTTGATATGTGAATACTCTAAGTATGGTACATTGTCTAATAAAACTTTGGGGATTAGTCGGCCATTTTGAAAAATGGCCCCATTTTGAAAAATGGCCCCATTTTTATGTGCGTTATTTAACGAAAATGGCCGTCATTTTAACGTATTTTACTATAACTTGAAAAGTAGTGAAGCGATTTTGTTCATATTTGATATGTGAATACTCATGAGCCTTGCACACTGTCTCATGACACTTCGGATAGTAGGCGGCCATTTTAAAAAATGGCTGTCATTTTTACATTTTTTTTACTATAACTTGAAAAGTAGTGGAGCGATTTTGTTGATATTTGATATGTGAATACTCTAAGTATGGTTCATTGTCTAATAAAACTTTGGGGAGTAGTCGGCTATTTTGAAAAATGGCCACCATTTTTATGTGCGTTATTTAACAAGTACATGTGTGCGATTTTTTTATAGGTGGCTACTTAAAAGCATATTATTTCTTCTGATGACAACTTGGCTAGTGAGCAACCATTTTTAAAATGGTGACCTTTCTGGTGTGTTGTTTTATGATATTTGCTATATATTTTGTACGTAAAAATGCCAGCCATTTCTGTTCGATGGGATTCGCTACGCTTTGGCGTTGCCGTTGTTCTGGTTATTAATTATATAATCATTGATATAATACACTTTTATTTTATTTTTTCCTTATCAGTATTGTTATAAAGATCAGTATTGTTATAAAGAATATGAGCAATAAATCTGTACTGTGAGAAAGCTGAATGGTACATGTATTATGTGATTTAATATCTTTATTTTCAATCTCTGGGTTCATTATCTACTACTGTAATACATGATGGCATTGGTTATTTAAGAAACCTTAATTGACACACTTGTTTCTCACAGACATATTATAATGATGAGTATATCACACATTGTAGGGTTATGCATAGATTAGCCAATGTATGCACTGTTTTTGTATGGTTTGATGAGCTCTTAGTTCTAGCTTAAAGTACAAAATGTGTATTTCCTTATTTTTCTGTAATGATTTTTCTGTTTTTTTTGCAATAAGTGAAGGGATGATGAATAATGGAAACGGCAATTTAGTTTTGGTTATTATGTCACCACCAAAAAGTGATGACATATTGTTATGGTCTCCTTTTTTGATGGCTGTTGGCGATCGGCAGTTGGCTGACAAATACTGCCAAGACTGACTTCAATTTTTTTCAAAATCATCAGTTTTCAGAAGTTCAAATCTGACTCTTTATTTAAGATTTGACCTTCAATGACATTTTCAAGGTCAAAAAAGGTCAAAAAGGTATTTTTTTAAATTGACCAATTTTTTTTCAAAATCATGTACAAGTTCTCAAAAGCTTGAATCTGACTATAGATTTTTCCTTCAATGACATTCTCAAGGCAAATTTTGCATGCTTTTCCAAACTGCATAATTTTGTGATGCACAGAATAACTCATTATAGAAATAAGTTGTATTTGATAGTACAGTAAGCCATTTATAAGGGGAACATCTTTTTTAACTCGAAATAGTGTTCAAGTTGTTGGGATGTGGAAGTTATGGAATTTACAGATGTGTCCCACTTGATATGTTTTACTGTATATTTTTTCAATAACATTCTTTACACCGTAGGCATGTCACATATCATGCAAGTAATGGGTGGCATTGTTCTTTTAGTAACTACATTTGAACATGTCTGAATTATTCAAAATTCCATTTGTTTGTATAATTATAAAATTATTGGATTCAACAGTTATTTTTATGTCACCATCACAAATGATGACATATTGTTATAGTCTCTAACTTTTTAGTTGATGTTTGGTGTAGGTAACAAATGGCAGATGGTGACATTTTGCATGACAATGCCTTGCAAAATGTTTGCATGATTATTTTTTCTGTTTGATGTACATATATTCACTCATAAATTAGTTTAAGTATAATCCATATTGCCATTTGCTTGAAGTAAAAACAACATTTTATTATCCCACAGAACATAGTTTGTGAGGGATAAATAAAAGCCATCCGTTTATCTGTCTGACCAATAACTCAAATACTAGTTGAAGGATCTGCGAAAGGGAATTTTTATAATGGTCACTCTATTCAAAATGGCTGCCATTTTATAAAAGAAAGTAATCTTTGATAACTTGAATACCAGTTGATCGATTTAGTTCAAATTTTAAATGATGATGCCTGACTATTAAGATGGCCATTATTTTTCACAATATTTTTTTTTGTTAATAGTAATACAAGTTATAGAATTTGGTCCAAACTTTATAGACTGATGTCTTATCGGCACAGGTCGTTTGAAAAATAAGACATTTTTTATTATGACTGCATATTTCAAAATGGCCACAATTTTTCGTAAAAATATCACTCAAATGATAGTTGATTTGATTTGATTTGAAAACTATATTTATTCTGGGTAGCTCTATCAGTACAAAACTGATCTTCCTAGAGGCCCAGTAATAATTACAATTATTTACAATATGTACAATAAATATAGAAACATACAAATAGATATATAGGACATATAGAACAATTTGATATATATGCATCTTCAAAGTATGCATTTACATGAAACATAGAGAACAACTTAAGAGAATTACATGAATATAATGAACAATATCTTTAAATAATGTATTTACATAATTTTCATTTTCTGATCTGATATACTTGTTTATATGCTTTCTTAAAAGAGTTTACTCTTTGACAGTCTTATCAAGCTTGTTCCAAAGATGTGAGACACTGTATGATATGCTTGATAGTTTTGGTTCAACTTTTAAATGCTGAAGTCTCGGGGACATATTTGTTCAAGACGGAATTTTATTATGGCTGCTTAATTCAGAATGGCCACCATATTTTCATGAAAAAATTTATTTTTAATAACTTATTTACCAGTTGTAGGGTTTAGTCCAAACTCTAAAGGCATAATGTCATTTAATGGGTAAAGGACATAAAAATCTTCACAAGAAGCCTAAAATGATTGCTTAATTCTAAATAGCCGCCTTATTTTGTAAAAATATATTGAAAGGAGACATTACTACTCTACTGCTTCCTGGTAAGTTCTATCATATTGTTTTGTTCGGTGGGATCTGCTACCCCAAGGAGTTGTTGTTTTTCTAGTTTTATCATAAGAATTGACAGAGCCAAGTCATCAAGCCAGGAATGAGCCTACTCAAGACAACAAATTTAAGTATTGGGCAAATGCATCCATGCCAAATTTCTGAACATTGATGCTAATCACTTAACTATGAATATACACTGCTTTTCTAACTTGACTACTTGATGTGTCAATTTGTCATGTCTGCATGTTCTTCATCTTTGCTTGAGTTAATCATTCTGCTTCTCATGCTTATATAGAGCTTAGATGACATTAAATGAAAGTAATGATAAACATGATCATGTCATGTTCACATGCCAATTCTGGAGGAATTTTGAGCAAATATTCTTTTCCCCGAAATCACCATCTTGATTCGTTTAGATGATTGAGGGGTCAAAATAAGGTTCGATATTTTCATATTGGATTCTTAATCCTAGCCCTAAACAGATTTTATAGTCATTTGATTTTGATGTTTGTTTAGGAAAATCTGATTTTTCAAATAATAATTATTATTGAGTAAGATCTAGTTTTCAGACAGTTTTAGAATAAAATCAATATTATCATTCTAACTTGCCATTTCATGCATGTTTTTACAATTTCACAAGAACCTATTGTTGCACAATTATGTTATTTTAAATAAAAGTATTATTCTTTAAATTATGCTTAAATTTTCTCATGTTAACCCCCATATTTGTTTGAACGACTATTTTCTTGGCTTGAAACAAAAGAAAATCTGATAAAGTAAATAAATTTGTATCTTGATTCTATTCTCTATAAAGTCTGCAAAATTCAATGTTTTATCTCCATTACAATGGGTCAAAATTTGATGTCAAAATTGATGAATTTCATGAAATTTAGAGAAAAAAATTGGCAGACCCCATGTAAACCAATAGGAAATGTTTGGGTTGCCATAAGTCATATGAGGAACGATCCATCCCTCCGATTGCTTTCAAAATTACAATTTTAAGAGACAATTAAATTTGCTAATTTGTCCACTGGACAAAAATATGATTCAATTTTCCAGGTTTTACAAAAGTTAATGGTTTCAAATTCAATAATTCTTTTAATGATCCTCTTATTAAAATAACACAGGTGGTCAGTGAGGTGGTCAAAATTACTTTAAAGCTCTGTATAGCTAATTTTACCAATATAAACGAGAAATTTAGCATGTCAAATGTAAAACCATTCGATTTTCTATTCAGAAAGCATTTTTAACAAATGTTTTGCTGAAAAGATATTCCAAAATTTGAGTTGCCCCAAAGCACCATTCCCCATTTGTTTAACATGGTATCTGCCATTTATGTTAAATTTCATGACACTCGTCAATTTTGACATCAAATTTTGACCTATTGTAATGGAGATATAACATTGAATTTTGCAGACTTCATAGAGAATGGAATCAAGATACAGATTTATTTACTTTATTGTGTGTTTTTTTGTTCCACGCTAAGAAAATAGTCGTTCAAACATGAGGAAAACCACTGGTCCTTAACTTTTTTGAGGAGTATATATTGATTATAAAGTGTAAGATTGGATTTGTTGATAAATGCAGATCTTGTCTATTGACGAAAGAATTTTTGCCACCATCTTGAATGATACTAACTGCAGTTAGCGTCATGCAGCGTCATCCATATGGATAAAGAGAATAGATAGGGGAAAAATAGTTTGCTCAAATTCCTCAAAGACTCTGTTAATACAATGAAAAACATGTATAGTAGACTCCATTCAGAACATAAAACTTTGTAATAAAGTCAAAAACAATGAAATACCACATACTGTACTAGACTGCATTTAGAGTGTGGGCTTGAAATTAGGTGATTGGTTGTGGTGCTATATAAAATAAATTGTTGCTAATGTATGTGACGGTTTTGGAACCTGCAGACTTGATGACTTGCGCTCTCCATGCTGTGTTTGATTTGAAGTAAGTGTTGTTTCTGGGCATTTGTAGAACATTAGAGCTTAGAGAAGAATAAGAGACATTTTTGATATTCAGTAACACATGGAGTTTATGGATAGGTCAATGCTAGTTTCCTTTGCAGTGAGCCATATCTTGAAAGAGCAGTGCTACATGCATCATTGATCATAGCAAAGCATCAGCTAATGCCAATGGACCTAGTTGCCCTGGATACAGTCTCTGGGAAACGTCTCTACTCATTTCTGTCAGTAGCATGGGGTATGATTTCTGATATTGATATAGAATCAGAGAAATACCGCTACATGGGAGATGCCAGATTCTTCTTTGAAGGAATGGTGAAGATAGCTGGTGAGTCAGTTATTGTTATATAGTACTTATTTATAATTTGGTGGTCATTTTTTAATTGTTCAAGTCCGGCAAATTCAATATTTAATAAGTTGCACCAAATTTGAAGTAGAAGTACAGTATACACAACGTTTTTCAGGTCTCTCAATATTGTATTTGTCCAAAGGAAAAAATACAAAAACAATAATTAAAAATATATCTGTAAATGATTTCCAAACTAAAGTGTTGTCAATCAGTGACCATTACATAAAGGATAGTGTTTTTTACAGAATGTTTTCAAAAAAATTGGTTTAAAACAAAAACAGTGTTGAATTCAGTTCACCATATCGCTACCATTGAATTCAGTTTACCATATCGCTTCCATCATCTACCTATCCATGCATGCTGCATTGTATGTACAATTATGATATCACCATAATCAATTTTACTTAGAATCAATGAACTATATATTAAGGTGATCCAAAATAACACTTTTTAGAAAAGTTATGCTCCAATGGTGAAAGTGATGTTCCTTTAGGGGTTAATAATCTTGTGAATTTTTTTAACCTAATTTTACCCTTTCCCTATGGCTCTCATGGTTTTCAAATTGGCCATCATTTTAGTGAAGATTTTAATTACAACATATAAAACTATTTTAACATGCACGCGAAGGAAATTTATTTCTGAGGTGCGTGGTACGCCTGTGGTATCTGCATGAAAGATTTCTACTAGATTGCAGCACTTAATGGATACTTTTAGGATCCATGTTAGACGGAGGAAAATTTACGCCCGGATTGAACCCCACAGTGCCTGAACGTTCCATGCTGTAAACTTAAGTGATAGTAGAGGGGTATATGGATACAGTGTTGCTAATTATACCATCCGGATAACATCTGTTGAAACCCATACAATGTGGTTTTCGCCCCATTAACCTACCATCTTGCACGGCTACATTTTATCATATATTTATTTATTTATTTCTCAATTCACCCCTTATAGGGTATAAGAGTACAAAAGACAAACTTAACTAATACAGTAACAAACATTAAAATAACATTTATATACATGTTAGAACATTTCAAATGCTGGTGGAGCCTGATCAACTCTGCTTGGGGTAACTCCTCGCCATACCTGCTTCAGTTTAATCCCCGAAAGCAGGTGGAGTGAGACTGATGATGAAGCATATCAGTAGCCACCCTTATAAAAAATTCAACCTTGAAAGTCCGAATTTAAACCGTTTCCACCAATCATTGAATAATGATTGTTTCAACTACCAAGATCAAAGGAAAAACCATTGTACGATGATAAGCAATCATTGTGCAACCATTGTGTTCAACCAAGCGAAGTCAACTCTTTTTCAACGACTGCGCAACCGTTTCAATACAATCATTGTAATCTGCAACCATTGTAAACTGCAACCATTTCACATTGAAATGTAAATGGTTGCAATTTGTTTTGTTCAATGATTACATAGTTCAACCCCTGCAACCATCCTGAATTAGTATCGTTCCAAAAAATTATCATTTTACCTGTATTAAAATTATCTTTAAGTAAGGATTCGAACTGACCTCTGTTAAACAATAGTATATTAGGATATTCTTTCTGCAAGCATACATGCATGTTTATTATAGTAAATAACTTAATTCATGTTAATATGTTTCTTTCTCCAGTATGAATCTAGGAATGCGATACCAGACTAGTTTTCCACTCAATGGCATATGATAATTTATGTTCTCTGTCATTTACATTATTTACACAAATTAAAAGTACCATATTTAGTGTTTATTTCCCTTTATCAGATATTGCCAAAATTATGTTAATTATGAAAAGAATTGAGCAAAATTCTAATTTGATTAAGGAATTGACCAAGGAACATCTTAAGATTTCCTTTAAACTTAACAAAATCACAAGATGAGACACAATGGTTTTTGTTCATGATCAGACTGATGATCAAAAGAAGCAGGATATGATATACAAAATAATACAAACATATAATTTCAACTGGAAAACATCTGAATTAATAATTTCAGTAAAATTTAGACAAGGTAGATGAATTATTGCTACACCCATGATATACAAATAGATTGGTATGGGATCATATTGATGCAGTATGATAGATCGGTATGGGAACGTATCAGAGGGTTTAGCTTAGGACCCCCACAAAAGTTTATATACAATGAACAGGCCAGTAGCCAGCCCCCCCCCCCCCCCGGCAAAATGGGTCTTCAAATGTATCCATACATGTGTAGTTAACACCTAATATCAAATGTATGGCTCACTAAAATTTAAAAAATACAAACAAGAGAACGATTTTGATTCACATTATTCACAACAGATTTAATTACCATGTTCTTTCTTGGCAAATATTTTTAATAACAATGCTCAACACAACAATTCCTACTACATATTGATATTCTCATGGGTTTAGGCAAATCAGAATGCTTGAACAGCCAATTAAAACGGTTGAACAGCTAATTAAAACGGTTGAACAGCTAATTAAAACGGTTGAACAGCTAATTAAAATGCTTGACCAGAAATAGGGTTCATATTCCTAGTTTCTGTTATATTTATTTTCATATTGTGTTATACTATATATTATATATTTTTTATTCTCTATTTCATGCAGAGGGGGGGGGTAAAAATTTAAAAAGTGTTTTCAGATTTTTGAGGGTTTATTTCTTTATTCAATTACTTTAATAAGTGCTGAGAAATCTCAAATAGCAAATATATGAAACTGCAAATACTAATTTTAGAATTTTTTATTTCATTTTTATTTAGTTCTTTTTACCATGGGCATTCAATAAATTGAAAGTTCATGGCTTTACTGTATTCACTAGGGCATAGCATTTGTACTGAAACTTGTTTTCAGTTTAAATAATATGTGTCAATGATTAAAAAATAAAAAAAAAACAGGGCTTATTTTTCAAAACTCTCAACTTGGCAAATATGGAAGAAAATATAGGAAATTTTCTTTGGCAAATTATTTATCATGTTTTGTGTATGGAATAATTAAATTACATAGGATGCTTCCTTTATAGCAGACTCTAATCAAACTGAGAGTCTCTCTGTTATAAGGTTTGTTTTGCCTTGCCGAATTATTTTTGTTTTGTTTATGGATTAATGGATTAATAAAGTTTCTTTAGACACATCCTTCAAAGCAGACTCTTATCAAACTAAAGAGACTGAGACTTTCTGTAATCAGAATTTTTTAAGTTATGCTTATTGACTTAATTATTTAAACATATCCTGTAATGTCTGATTGCATTTTCTCTATCAAATCAAAAATATCAAATCAATAAACAGATTATTTTCTGATTGAAGGATTTCTTCCTTGCAGACAGATCTTCCCTCCTTTATAATTGTGATAATTACTCAGGTGAAGGTGAAGTATAAGTGTCTGAATTTGTAAAATTCAAGACTTGACCCAATCAAAATTATTTCAAATGTTTTTGCAATAACTTAAAAAGCAGTGAAGGGATTTTGTAAAAATGATTGTCATGACAGCGAGGGGATTTGCTATGCCTTAGCATTGCTGTTATCTAGATAATATACATGTGAGTGGGACAATCACCATCCTTCAAGGTTAGATGGAAATTGGTTCAATATATTTTCATTCACAAGACAAGTTTACTAAACTATTTCAATACTTTAAATATCTTTTTGATCAAAAAAATTTAAATTCTGACATGTATGCATGAAATACATACATTTGAAATATATATTTTAAAGAGCAATATAATTATTTTATGTTGTATTGAGATAATATTGCCATAGGTTTAAAGGGTTGCAATCGATTGAAACGGTTGCAAGAAATTCAATCAAAATTGTCAAGCGTTTACAATGGTTACATATGATTGAAAATTTTCAATGAGTTTACAACCAAAATTGTAATGGTTGCATTGTAACGGTTGACATGGTTGCATAAATGATCGGATCAATGATTGTACAATGATTGTGCAACGGTTTAAATTCGGACTTTCAAGGTTGAATTTTTTATAAGGGCAGCGCTGTTAGAACATCTAATATGTTTTAAATAACCTAAATGCAAAAAATTGTATTGATTTAGTTCTAAATATGATTTTTTTTTAGAAACTATGGCTATTACATACTATTTTACGACTTTTGCTATAACTGGAAGTAGTGGAGCGATTTTGCTTATATTTTATATGTGAATACTTAGAAGCATAGTGCACTGTCTTAATGACACATTGGTTAGTAGGTCATTTTGAAAAATGGCAGCCATATTTTTTTTTTCTAATGATAATTTGGCAAGTAGGGAGCCATTTCCAAAATTGGCAGCCATGGCAATGTCAATATCACTAGGAAATCATTAAAAAGGTTAGTGAGCATTTTTTCTGTCGATGTTTTACGGTTTTGGGAGAAGATTCCTGGGGATTTTGGTTGATTTGATTGTGAATGTCAGCAGAAATAAGCTATGTTCTGGGGTTTTCTTTGTAGCTAATGAAAATAGATAGCTTCGATGTAATTTGATGAAAGTATCCAAACTTATGTATTTTGACACTAGGTCCATGATCGTTGGATATGTCTCTGCACTTCTTACTCAACCTTTAATGTCTTATACCATTGCATTCTCAGGGACGTAGCTGGGGATTTTGGCAACTAGAGGCCAATAATATATGAATGAAAATTTGGTTTGAATTTGCTCTGAAACACTTCCTTATTACCTCCCCTCCCCATATTAATCTTTTTTTTTCATATTAATCTTTGTTTCTCGTGACGTCGTACCTGTATCTGTTTATTTTTACGAGTACATCTGTTTTCATCATTTTCATCATATTATTGATACCCTTTGCATTCGTTCGACTTCACTTCTTAAAAGAGAGCTTCGTCTTCACTCTTTCAAACTAAAATAAACCTGTGAACTCACGGCGCCAATCAGTGTTCGTCGACCAAATTTGACCGACGTTCTTTATATGGTCATTCCTTCTGATGTCATCATTGAGCCCGGAATTGACCAATGACATGCGCATATTTAATTAGAACGCATTTGGCGTATGTTTCTT